ATATATATATATATACATAAATACATATATATTACCTTATGGGAGAAATTTGGCGATTCTTGGGGAGATTTAGAAAAAAATTGGCGATTTTTATTTTTTTTTTCCGAAAATCTTTGAATCTGATGAAGAAGACGACTCGTGGTTTTATACTGCGATTTGCGACAGAAAATTCCGTCGCAATCCGTCGCAAAATGAAATTAATTTACGCGCCCAAAATTTAAAAAATTTCGTGAAAAATGAAACCAATACATTGCGACGGAAAATTCCGTCGCAATCCGTCGCAAGTGTTATTTTCCGTCGCAAATCATCTATTTCTTTGTTGTGACAGAATTATCCGTCGCAAACCGTAGCAAATTGCGACGGATTTTACGACTATTTGCGACGGATAGTTTTTTTCCACATTCTGTCGTAAAATCGTCACATTCCGTCGCAATTTTCTGTGCGACGGAAATTTCCGTCGCAAATTCCGTCGCTATATGCAGGTTTTTTTGTAGTGATAGGATTTAAAATGTCAATATGACTAACTATAAAGTTTTTCTTTATTTTCTTTGTAACAAAGTGTAGAATGTTCAACTGCAATAAAAAGTGTTGAAATTATTTTATTGTTTCGGTCTCGTAAACGATTTTAATATAAGCTTCAAAATAAAAGAAGAGAGAGAAAGAAAGAGAAGTCAAAGATGGAAATTTCATAGTTAGATAAATGTTTGGAGGGCGCGTGCGTAAATGGATTTTTACTAGAGAACCGGACCCATTTTGACACCCAATATGTATTCATTTGTGATCCGTAGTTCAGCTTCGCGTATATATATATATAATATATATATATATACACATAAACCCCACTTGTCAATATACACACAAACCGAATATCGAAATAAAAAATAAAAAGAAAAAAGAAAAATCATGGATTCGATGGCGACGGAGACGTACATTACACCGGAGAAAGTCTCCGGCGAAGACGAAACCCACCTCTTCGCCATGCAGCTCGTGAGCGCTTCTGTGTTACCGATGGCTCTGAAATCGGCCATTGAGCTCGACTTGCTCGAGACCATGGCCAAGAACGTCGGTTTCTCCGGCCAAATGTCCCCTTCGGACATAGCTTCCCATCTTCCGACAAAGAACCCTGACGCTCCCGTCATGCTCGACCGCATTCTCCGTCTTCTCGCCGCGTATTCCGTGCTTACCTGCTCCGTCCGCACACTTCCCGACAATGGCGGCATCGAGAGGGTGTACGGGCTTGGTCCTGTCTGCAAGTACTTGATCAAGAACGAAGATGGTGTCTCCATTGCTGCTATCTCTCTTTTGGACCAAGACAGGGTCCTCATGGAGTGCTGGTATCACTCCAAATTCCTTTCTATGACGCTTATTTGTTGATTATATTAACAAACGTGAATATTTTACGAGCAGGTACAATTTAAAAGACGCGGTGCTTGAAGGTGGAGTACCGTTCGATAGGGCACATGGCAAGGCCATATTCGAGTATTCAGAGACGGACCAAAGATTCAGCGACGTATTCAACAGGGCAATGTTAAACGCATCCTCCATCACCATGAAGAAGATCCTAGAAACATACGAGGGGTTCGAGGGATTATCCTCACTCGTCGACGTAGGCGGTGGCATTGGAGCCATCGCCAACATGATTGTATCCAAATACCCCGACATTAAAGCCACCAACTTTGATCTCCCACACGTCGTCCAAGTTGCTCCATCTTATCCTGGTACACATATATACATCCGTATATATACACAGTATCTATGTCATATCGAAATACAACATGCATAATTAATTGCTGGATGACGTACGTAGGTGTATCCCATGTTGGAGGAGATATGTTCGTCACTGTTCCCAAAGGAGATGCCATCTTCATGAAGGTGTGTATACTTTATATTCTTTTTGATCTAAGAAATGAATATTAAACAAACGTGTGAATGGCAGTGGATATGCCACGATTGGAACGATGAACAATGCCTAAAACTGTTAAAGAACTGCGGTGAGGCGCTTCCGGATAACGGGAAAGTGATAGTGGCGGAGTGGATACTCCCGACAGTGCCAGACTCGAGCCTCTCGGCCAAAATAGTAAGCCACACGGATATAATCATTTTGGATGTATCCACCGGAAAAGAAAGAACAGAGGATGAGTTCGAGGCGTTGGCCAAAGGAGCCGGGTTCAGAGGGTTCCAAGTCGTTTGTAATGTCTTTGGCACTTACATCATGGAGTTCCTCAAGTAGATTTGATGTCCCAAAGCTATGTTTTTTTTCCATTTTGGAGCATGAATTTTAATTAAAATGAAAAACAAAATAAGTCTATTTTCTCTTATTATACATATAATATATCCTTGTATATTAATGTCATAATTGACCTTGTATACCAAAGTTGACGAGTTCAAAAGCTCCCGTTATTTTCTAATGCTCATGTCTCTAATCGACATAGCTTAAGTGGACAAGTTTTCTTTCAATGCAAATACTATATATTATAAAAATTATTATTATAGATCTACTTCACCACGGTGGGCAGGCCATTCGTCCGCCGTCTCCTGAAGTCAACAAACTATGGCGAAGAAGAAAAAGTCTCATCACAAGACTCGCAACCCCTCTTCCCCATTCCAGCGGTCTATTCCTCAACACTCATCTGTGACTCAATCTAATGTCGACCGATCTGGAGTGCCTCTTCTTCCACCGGAGACTGGGAAAAGCTTGCAGGTCCCCGTTAATCCTTCATCTGTGGTACCTTGTACTCCATTGACGGCTGGGGAAAGCTCGCACGTCCCCGCAAATCTCTCGACTATGGTGACTCCTGCTCCACCGACGACTGGGGAAAGATCTTCAGACCCTTCCATCCGGGTACCCTCATCTCCCTCAACTCTGGTTCCACAAAAACCCCATGAGCTTGATTTTTCGGTGACTTCTAAGATCCCAGTGCACTCGATGGTTGATTTCCCTCCTCTGAGTAAGAAACCAACTCCTAAGCAAAATCAAACTCCTAGTCTAGTTGGAAGTCCGATTAAACCTTCTGATACTCAGTTTCCATGGGCACAAAGGCTACGAGATACCTCCAGGAACCTGCGAAGATTAGCTATTCCGACGATCTCGGCTGAGGGAATGCCCCGCATCGATCCGGGTTCCTAGCTCGGTTCTCTTGAGACCTCTCAAAACTGGAATGGCTACCTTGTGGGCCAGTTTTACGGAATCACTCCATCGGGTTCAAAGCTGTATCAAATCTTAAATCCGATTTGGGGGAGGAAATCTCGGATACATGTGAGGCGGATAAACAATTCATCTTGTCTGTTTCATATTCCTGATCTTGCTACCAGCGATTGGATCCTTGAAGTTGGTATTTGGAGAGCTGCTTATGTGATGTTTACTGTGACGGAATGGTCAGCCACTGCTACTTTCCGAAAGACGACATTGACTACTGCTCCGATCTGGGTAAAGTTCACAAACATTCCAGCAGAGCTTTATTCATTGAAGGGCATCAGTTACATAGCATCTGGAGTGGGTGAACCCCTGCATACAGAACGAATGCAACTGGACTCTTTGAACATAGGCGAAGGAAGGTTAAGATTGAGGTCCAACTTGGATTTTCGTTGTCCAATACTGTTGAAATTGAGGATGAGCAAGGAGGTATTATTGCTGTAAATGTATCCTACGCCTGGATTCCACCAAAATGTGATATTTGTGCTGAATATGGACATAGGAAGCAGAGTTGTCTAACAAAATCTGTTGTAAGCAACACTGAGCACTCCGCGGAGAAACCCCAAGACCCGCCATCTGAGGGGACTGCCGAGGAGCAATCGGATTTCACATTACCACCAATCACAACCACTGATATCGTCTTATCTCATGTTAGCCCCGCTAATATCCCTCTTCCGGAATCATCGGACCCTAGTCGCCACCACAAAACGGTGCCTTCTATAACAATTCCATGTATGGACTCCTTTCAAAATACCCCTTCTCCGCATGATCCAGACCTTGCGTCACCTACTTCCACCAAATCGGTTCACCACATAAATGGAAATACTACTTGTCAAAAATTTCGTTTTGACTCAGATGAAGAACTAGTGGCAGAAGCACAAAGAATTCTACGAGCTCGTTCCTTCACTGCTACTAAAGTCCAAGGAGTTCAGCGTGTTCTACGTCCTCGTGCTGTCAATATACCTCTAGATCCCACAGATTTCACATTGGTCGGAAAAGCTCGAAAGGGAAAAGGTAGACTTTAGTGTCTCTTACCATCCAACATCGACCACTTGCGACCCACGTTGCATAACACTTCTAGTGCTCACTTTCCGATGACTTACTATTTAACTTTCAATCTTTTTTAGTTTATTGTTCTTATTTGCTATTATGAATTCTAATTATGAATTCTAATATCTGTATTACCATTTGGTAATCTCTTTTGTACGGTTATTTACATATATAATATTTACCGTTACCAAAAAAAAAATTATTATTATCATCGTGCATATATAAAAAACGATTATAAAATTTTATATAGGAATTAATAATTTTTTTTGAAATTGTTAAATATTTTTATTATTATTTTTTATTAAATAATATTTTATTTTTATTTTTAAATAATTTGAACAATAATATTTTTATATAAATTTATAATTTTTAATAATTAAATTTATAAAATATACAAAACCCCGAAAAAGTTTGAGACGGCCTAATATTTTTTTTATTTAGTATTAATTATTTCAATTTATGCTTAACATGGATGACATACATTTTTGTTCATTTAACGCCAAGAAAAAAGAACATAGAAAACAATGCAAATCATATATTTCTAATGGTTAACGCTAGGACTGGGCAAAATAACCGAATCCGAATAACCGAACCGAATCCGACCGATAAATACCCGAACCGAACCGAACCGAATAAAATTAAATAACTGTTTGGTTATGATTTTTTAAAACCCGAAATAACCGAACCGAACCGATTAAAAATTATTAACCGTTTGGTTATAAATTTTTATAAACCGAATTAACCGAACCGAACCGAAATGTTTATATATCTTCATTTATATATTTTTATATATATATGAATGTTTATATTCTTGATTTAATCATTTTTTTATTATATTTTAAATACATTTTATCATTATTTTTAAAGTTTGTGTGGTATAAACATTAGAAAAAAACGATCTTTATTTATTTAATAATTTTATATCAAAATATAAATTTAGATATTATTATTTTGTATGTTAAAATAATTATGATAATATTTTATATTATATTTTATTTGAATATTTTTAATTATAAATGAATTGATTTTTTAAATATTATAACCGAACCGAACCGAATCTTTATTTGGTTATAATTTGGTTATAGTTTTAAATAGACAAAACCGAGTCGAACCGAACCGAACCGAATAAAATTAATTAACCGTTTGGTTATGAGTTTTAATAATCTGAAATAACCGAACCCGAAATAATCGTAACCGATTAACCCGTAACCGACCGTTCGTCCACCCCTAGTTAACGCCCTTCGGGTTCAATTGGAATTTCGGAAGATTTAGATAATTCATATTTAATATGGCATTCAAAGGAAAGTGAATTTCAATTTGTTTATTCAGGATTTTCCCTTTCTAAATGAAAATTGAAATTGTTGGTAAATATAAATAATCATATTTGGACGTTCTATTTGCATTTTGATAATATCATGCCTCTAGACTAGTAATTATGAAATAGAAAAAAAATTAAAAACAAACTTTTAGATATATTCTAATTAATTACTTAATCGTAGAGACTGTTAGACCACAATATCTTGTATATTAAGAAACTTCCATAATTGTAGGATCCGATTGTTATTAGAATCTCTCATTGCTCTCTCTTGCTGTGTATATATGTAAACGACACTTTACCTAATGAAAATAAGCCTTTCAATTATTATTAGAGACTCTCGAAAATATTTGAGATAACTCTAATTATATCGATAAAATGGAGAATTTTCTTTGGAGAATGTGAATTCTTCTATTGACTTCCGAGACATCAAAAGATTTGCTGCTAGCTTCCGGTCATTTTTTCCTCCATTGGACCTCTTTTTTCTACTGGTTTTATTTAGAATATTAATCAAACGTATAAAGATTTATATTATTAGTTTTAAGCATTAAGTTTGACAAATTTCATGCAAACAAAAAATATTTACAAATTTTGTTTGTCCATTCGATTCAAATAGTAATTACATAATGGAATTTATGTAACATTGAGTTTATATATTATATTCTATTTATTTATTTTTATTGTCTACTGATTAAATTTTCATGAAATTATGAAATATAGTCAAATATATGAATTCAAACTCCTTACGATTTTTAATATTATCTTTTGTGAAGCTAAGGTATGAGTTTTTCATATATTTTTAAATATTTTCAATATAAGAATATAACTTTCATTGAAATTGAGAAATTTAGTCTGATTGATACGTTAAGCGTAGCTTTCAGAAGACCGAGTGAAGATGGTTGCTCTTGATCAAACTATTCGTTGTCCAACCAATCAAACTCCCACATCTCCCCGCTTCCGAAGTCATTAGCCTATTAATATTTAATATAATTGTATATAAAGTCTATTGTGTTTTCGGTCCATTTTATTCGTCTTGTATAATATATTGATTACGGGTCATGCCAATGTATGTATCTCACTAATTACACAATCACATAACCAGGGTAATCAGTTTCGAATTAATAGACAGAATTCTAGGGTTGATCCACTCACTAAAAAAAAGATGAATTTCAACGGATTCGTCCGTTGAAAATATTCCAACGGAATTGTAACGGACTTTACGCTTAAAAAAATTCCAACGATTATCAACGGAATTTTAACAAATATATATATGTTAGCAATCCGTTGATACCTGCGACAGTCTCAAAACGCAATTTTGAATGCATAACGTGTAAGATATACGCATAAAAATTGGTTTACAAATTATTTAACTTGAGAAACAAAAATGAAGAAGACTAAGCTAAATTAATTATTAAATGATGATACATTAATAATTCCATAAAAAAAAATATTACTAAATTACGCTGTTCAATTGAGCCCGAAACAAGGAAGTATCAATTCATTTATGGCTGACTATTCAAAGCTATATATGTATAGCCATTTACTTTTGAAGATAGTTACTTTTTTTTTTTATTACCAATAAATCATTCTTGATATGAACCATATAGGGTTACAAAATCAAAAGATAACTCGATCCCATCTGAAATTGCCCTATTACGGATAATGGAAATAAATTATATATTTGTATATAGTTTTTTATTTTCAAGAATTGGATACTCCTAACTTTATCAAAGTAACTTTGATAGAACAACTTTTTCTTGTTGTAATCGAGTGTAATTAATGTATCAGAATTCAAATTCAATCATTTGATTTGGAATATACATATACCCTCTCCAAACTTGAGTTTGAATTTTTAAACAAAAATATATGAACCAAAACATATATAATCGACATTCAAAATGTCCATCATTCCTATCATAGGATTTAAAAAGTCACTATGACTATGTTCAACTGCAATAAAAAGTGTTGAAATTGTTTTATTATTTCGGTCTCGTAAAGGATTTTAAAATAAACTTCAAAATAAAAGGAGAGAGAGAGAGAAGTCAAAGATGGAAATTTCATAGGTTGATAAACGTTATGAGGGTGCGTGTGTAAATGGACGTTTACTAGTGGAGAATATACATTTTCGCTAATTTTAACATATGCATGCAAAAATCAAAGTCATTGAAAGTTCTTTGAATTTTTTCATTTAGGGTTCAGCTTTGTGTATATATAACCAACCCTCATTAGATCCGTCTCCTATATATCATCTCCACACACAGTCACAATAGTTGAATTCCAAAATCAAGACATAATGGGATCGACGGAGATAATTCCGGCGAGAGTTTCCGGCGAAGATGAGACCCACCTCTTCGCCATGCAGCTCGTGAGCGCCTCCGTGTTGCCAATGGTTCTGAACTCGGCCATAGAGCTCGACTTGCTCGAGATTATGGCCAAGAACGTCGGTTTCTCCGGCCAGATGTCGCCTTCCGACATCGCTTCCCATCTTCCGACCAAGAACCCCGACGCTCCTGCCGTGCTCGACCGTATTCTCCGGTTGCTGGCTGCGTACTCCGTCCTCACTTGCTCCGTCCGCGGCGTGGAGAGGCTGTATGGACTCGGCCCTGTATGCAAGTACTTGATCAAGAACGAAGACGGCGTCTCCATCGCTGCTCTCTGTCTCATGAACCATGATAAGGTCATGATGGAGAGTTGGTACGTGGCTTCATATTCATCACTCACTAAGTGATTTATGTTGATAAATCTATCTATAGTACCGTACATGTTTTATTATATATGTGACGAGAAAATATATATACATAAAAGTGGAAAGTGTTTTCTCTTAATATTTACGTACGATAAAATATTTATATATGCCATTGCATTACAAATTAGCGGTCACCACTTTTTTTTTTTTGGTAATTGAGCGGTCACCACTTTACACGTGTTCAATATTATTTTAATTGAATTTACTTGTAGGATATATTAGCAACTCCACGTTCAATAAGACAGTAATTAGTAGAAATGTTAGATTCTTGAAGTGACACACACATACACACAAGAAATTGAGTGTAGGTACAATCTGAAAGACGCAGTGCTCGAAGGTGGAGTCCCGTTCGACATGGCACATGGGAAAACCTTGTTTGAGTATCCGAAGACAGACCCAAGATTCAACAAAGTGTTCAACGCTGGAATGTTCAACACTTCCACCATCACTATGAAGAAGATTCTAGAAACCTACAACGGCTTCGAGGGCTTATCCTCACTGGTCGATGTCGGCGGCGGGGTCCGAGCCATCCTCAACATGATCGTCTCCAAGTACCCTAACGTCAAAGGCACCAACTTTGATCTCCCACATGTTGTCGAGGTTGCCCCTTCTTATCCCGGTATGCCCTTGTTCAACGTCTACCGAATTTAATAATATCGACATCCTTCGGTTTTAAATAATATGGCTATATATTATTGATAATTGAATGGGTTTAAATAGATAACGTGGTTTTCTTTTAATAAAAGTTCTGATTCCTAACAAAAAATAGAAGTATAGGAATGTCTAAATTCCGAACTAAAACTCGTGAGGATGATGCGTGTAGGTATAAAAAATGTCGGAGGAGATATGTTCGAAACTGTCCCGAAAGGAGATGCCATCTTCATGAAGGTGAGTAAAGCACTCAAATTGTTACATACCACAAATTTACATCTTTACAAGCGAAATGAAATATCAAGGGCGCCATCGATCTATAAAATCTAATAAATAAGTGTGTTCATCGTCGTGACAGTGGATATGCCACGACTGGAACGACGAACAATGCCTAAAACTGTTAAAGAACTGCTACAAAGCTCTTCCGGATAACGGGAAAGTGATAGTGGCAGAGTGGATACTTCCATTAGTGCGAGACTCGAGCCTCTCGACCAAACTGGCAATCCACACGGACGTTGTCATGCTGGCTCTAAACCCCGGAAAAGAACGGACTAAGGATGAATTCGAGGCATTGGCTAGAGGAGCCGGTTTTCAAGGATTCAAAGTTATTTGCAATGCCTTTGGCACTTGCATCATGGAGTTCCTCAAGTAGATTTTTATTTCTCCAAATAAAAAATACTCTATATATGTACATGGGCTCGGTTCCTTCTCTTGGTCCGACCTTTTATATATACTTATATATATATATATATATATATATATATGTATAACCTATATGTAAGTTTGTTACTATGAGGGCATAAACTAAATAAAAAAGAATAAGAGCCTCGTTTTGTCGCTTATACATATGCGTCCTTGTTTTTATTCTTCTCCTTGTGTACCAAAGCACTATACTCTTTTCAATTTCTCATTTATATATAATCAATTGATTTGTAGTTAGAAATTTCCATTGAAGATAACATTTTCTTCGCCTCATATCCTTAGAATCTCGAGAAATGGATCTTCCTCCATGCCGAATACATGAATATAGAGCTTTTGCTCTTTTCAAAAAGGATAAAAACTCACCATGTAATTGAATTGAGGTTACACTATTTTATTTTGATGTTTACTTAAAGAAAAGATTTTTCCTACATGAATAGAAAGTAAACATATAAAAAACGAATGTGAACTTACTCGTTAAATAAAATAAAGGAAAAAACAGACTTTAGATTTTGACTACTTTTGGTTATGATTTCTAAACGTCTATGATTGTTTTAGTATTAATTCAGATTTTATCTACATTTGGTACCGTGAATTCTATTATTTGTACTTAGGGGTGCTATCTCATTGTCTTCCCTATTGTAAGAACATTTATATTTATACATTTACCGTTAACAAAAAATAAAGGATCATACAAATTCATTCAAACAATATATATATATATATATATATATATATATATATTATAAGAAATAATGTTAGGAAATACATATATCTGCACATCTATGTATTTCTATCTTTACCTTCTTTCTTTTTCTTATAGGTTTGCCCTTGTTGTGTACGTATGTATATATTTCTCCTCTGCAATATATGGAAGTACTGAGTCGTCATTGTCTCTTCCTCCCAATACCTTGCATGGTATTAGAGCTTTCTGTCTAAGTACTTAGATCCAGTTTTTCTTTTTGCCTACCTTCCCCTGTTTAACCATGTCGTCTTCATCAACCGATACTCCTGCCACCCCCGTTAACACTGCTGCCACTTCAACACTCAAGATCCGCAACAAACACTGATTTCATGCAACATGACCAATGTCACGGATCCAACAATTTCCCTGCAAAATCAGCATTAGATGGTCACAGAGCTAAATCTAATATCAGAAAACCAAATCCTAAGTTCGCTCACATTGTTTCTGATTAGTAGGTTCTTCTCACCTCGAACACAGTGGCTCAATCATTAAAGGAACCACAGTGGAGGGCAGCTATGTCGGATGAATTTAACACTCTTGTAAGGAACAATACCTGAGATCTATTGCCACTGGAAAAAGCACACAATATTGTTGGATGTAAGTGGGTCTTTTGGGTCAAACAAAATCCTGATTGTTCTCTCGATCGGTACAAAGCCTGCCTAGTTGCAAAGGAATTCTATCAGAGACCAAGAATCGACTTCACTGAGACGTTTAGCCATGTTATTAAACCTGCCAATTTTCGCTTGATCCTCAGCCTTGTTGTTTCTCGCCACTGGCCAATTCGCCATCTCGATGTCAATAATGCGTTCCTTTAAGGAACCCTCATCGAGCATGTCTTCATGACCCAACCTCCGGGATTCATTGACACCGACAAGTCAGACCATGTCTACAGTCTAAAGAAAGCATTTTACAGGCGAATGAGTCGAATTAGACGAATTTTCGAGAGAAATCCGGACCCAGGGTGGAAAAATCATGTCTTAAGGTCCATAGGGTCGGAAAATCGGGTTTTCTGGTCGGAATTTGGTGCGTATCGGTCGTTTTCAGGTCGAATCCGGACAAGAAATCGTGACTTTCGTCGCTGCCCAGCACCTGGACCGGTCGGTCTAGGTCGCTGTACTTGTTTGTTCTTGCTGACAGCCTGGATCGGTCGGTCTAGACTTCTGGACCGTTCGGTTCAGACATTTTTTTTTGAAATCTTGGGTTGTTACAGCTGCAAACACCACAGTGATGGAATTCCTGGGATCTCTAGAGCGAATCCTATTCCTAAGAGATCGATTCTAGGGTTTGCGCAGCGGATGTAAAACAAAAAATTTGAATGAAACCCTAGAACCATGCTTCTATGAATCGTAGAAACGTTAGAACGCTTACCTCAATCGATCTGGGACCTATATCAATCGAAGAATTCGTCTGATCACGAAAGGGATGAAGAATACCTCGCCCTCTACACGTATCCACACCTCGGGATGGATTCCAACGGTTGGAACTTGTCTGCTAGGATCCGAATCTGCTATTCGGTTTTGTACTTCGAGAAAACGGGACTTTGATCACACTCTCTACCTCTTGGATCTCACCAAAAGTCTGTCAAAAAATGTTCTAAAGTCGGCCCCCTTTCATTAGGGTTTAATCTCTTTCTTATAAAGTGATTTAACCCTAATTTCGGTTTAATTTAGGAAAAACACGAAGCCCGGAACGGACGGTCCACCCCGGAACGGACGGTCCAGGAAAGCACGTGGACCGTCCGTTCCAGACCTTCTAGAACGGATGGACTGCGTTCTGGACCGTCGGGTCTGGACCAGGCAGACCGTCTGGTCCGCCCTTCTGGTCCGTCCGTTCCAGACCCTTTCGTCTTGGTTTTTTCCGTCGTTTTCTCGTGCGTTTTGTCCTTCCCTGCGTGTGTGACCCTGTAGGCTCATTCGATATAGCAGTATAATCCGAAATCTCTCTTCCGGATATACAAGTCATAGGCGGTCTCTAACAAGACACTATGACTACCTATCTCGAATAGAGTTTGTTCGTGATCTTAAGAACGCCAGTGATGATTCTGGTTGATGATCCTTTTGTAACGCGATATCATATGTCGAACATAAGGCATGGACAAGCCACCTTATCTGATTCGATTGCTTTCTTGTTCACTGAGTTCGACTGTCTGAAATAGACGACATTCGTCTGTAGTGCGACCACACATTTCTACAGTCTCGCTCACACGAGGGGCCCATTGATATCTCTCTCTTTTATGAGAGGTACAAATCTCGTATTGACTATCTACAATCTAGCACATGATTCGTTTCGTACCTGATACACGCATTTATAGTCCTCCTGATACGCAGGACGTTTGACGTAATCAAAGCACGCAACTCCTCATGTTGGATTCCGTAGATATCTCAGGTCTTAGGATCCAATCATGAAACCGCCATATGAGATTCAAGTCATGACGCTAGTCCATGTGATAATCTCATGCGGGTCAATCCAGTATTCCGTTCTCCAACGAATACCTATGACTGTGAT